TTGTAGTTTATGACAAGAAAAAGCAACGATGACAAGAATAAAAGGAGTATTACTAGAACATCCAGAAGTTGCTCTTACGGGATGATAACCCAGTTTTGCACCCAAGTCGCAAAGATAAAATTCGTTGTTGGGATTAAATTCCTTCTTCATAGTTATAAAATCTTTCACTTGATCCTTCAAATCTTCCCACTGATGCTTTAGATGCAGTCCACGTCTGTCTAGGATTAAAACCTGAAAAATATTGATAAAAGGGATACTTACAATACGCTCCGAGGGTCCGCTGAAAGTGCTCATTCTTCCGGTACCCCAGCTAAATGAAGAAATCAGTTGAAACTGGAGTATATGCAAAGTGCACCAATAAGGACAATTTTGAAGTCAAAGTACGATTTAATTACAAACCACTAATTGGAGAGAAGTTCTTTCGGCGACGAGGTGTATCGGGATGGAGTCTAGACCAATCAGTGATCCTTAGCTGAAACTCCATTGGACAGAAATTTGCGACTGAGACCGCGTAAAAAACGCGGCAATAATACTAGATATTCACTTATTTCACAAAGTAGGGTAGGAAGTTGAAAAAATAGACAGAGGGAACTGCTGAATACTATTTAAGGGAATGATACGAGCAGCAGTATCGCTCACTGACCTGAAGCGAAGAGAACCTAAACAGTCCCTAGGAGGCTGTGGTGAATTGTACATCATTTAAGTCGCTGCCCTCAATACCCATGCTGTTCCAATTGCAAGGTAGATCCAAGAAAACCGGAAACTAACCTACTTCTGTGTGTGACATGCGTATGTTGGATCTTAAACGCACACGAATCGGACTATAAAAGCCAAATTGCAAAGGAGTCGAGGTAACTGTAGAACTAAAACTCGAACCTCATATGGATTTAATAACCTCCATTTAGAAAAAAACAGGTATCGCCTAGGCTTCCTTGGTCTACCAACCCGATTGAGAATAATCTGTCAAAAAAGAGTATGATTAAATTAATGGCTGCGGCGGGGTCTCGATAGCTCAGTTGGCAGTTGGCCTTCCCTTTCTGGTGTGGGTTCGAATCCCATCGAGGCCGCCGAATTTCTCACGATTGGGTCAATTGAAAATGACAAGTTTAGAGGTCGAAGGTAGCCGCACGATTTAGGTAACTAAAGAGGATGGCATAGTAGAAACGCATAGGCGGACAAATTATTCAGGGCTAATATAATTTCTCACCATCATATAGGCTGTGACACGGTTCATAGCGTAGCGGTCTTATGTAACCACCTTCGTTGAAACATGGGAAATATGAGACTTCTAAAACTATTTCGACTCACGTAAGGAACATTAATTGCTTGACACTTCACTCCTTTCAAATTGTCCTCTAGGCGGGCAAGACAGGCATCCTGAACTCATAAGACAAATCAAAAATGCCTCCTGGGTGGAAGCATGACCCTGCATCTGTTTAGAAGTCATTACACCAGCAACGAGCAATGTATTGTTTGAATGTCACCTGGGCAATGTGCAACGAATCTAGCATAGGGCCTTAAGGAGAAACGACGTAATCCAACAGTTTGCCCTAAGTAGTGCAAAGAACACGCACGTATGGACATACTATACATCAATCAATAGTTACCAACAAGTGCGATAATAAAATTGCCATACCTCACACCACGTCAGGAAGGATCAAAAATCAAACTCGAACTTCATAATCATTGAGCACATACGACAAGTGTGCCATCATGGTGATGTGACCTGTATTCGGTGCATGATAGGGCCGGAACTATTAAGTGCCACGGAGGCGGAGCCTATCGGCAGATTCTAATAGCAAAAAGCGTTTCAAATCGGCCACATAACAATTTTTTATTAATAGCCACTTTGGTAGTCTCTGGTTTAGAAGACGAAGATGCGATCACTGGAACAAGAGTTTTTT